CAATTCAATGTCAGGCATGTACAAGTCAGGTGTTCCTGTGATTAACTTCTAGGAAACTAAGTCTTTTATTGGATCTAGCCCTTAGGATTCACTCATTTGAGCCATCAGTCAGCCAGCAAAAAAGTGTACATGAAGTTTCTAAATACAAAAGCAGCACATTGTGCATGTAGAAGACTGTGCACGCACTCTAGTCCCCTGTAACCTTCCTTGAAAGCTGGGCTCTAAGTTCATATGCACAGACTAATTCTATTTAACATTAGCATGGCAGGCAAAAACCATGCTAGTACACAGTAGAATTAGTCTACTGAACATTCGTGTCACACAAAAAAAGCATGCACCAGCACTACTGCGCAGTAGCGCCGATTATGGCGCATTAAGTTTAGTACCAGTTATTACAGGTACTGTTATTACAGGTACTAAACTTCATGCACCATAATTATGGTGCACTAATGAACGTGTAGATGTGCCCAGTGGGTCACAGATTAGTACTGATTCTCATATCACAATCCCTTAGGCACTGTTCCCTTAAGCCAGATGTAGCAAGGCTCTGCTTGCAATGTATGTATGAATACTGTGGGAATGAAAAACTGGAAAGGATGTAAGAGAGAATTTACATATTTTGTAGAGGTGCATCGATAAAGATTTTTTGAGCCAATACCAATGGACAATTATTGACCAGCCACATCCACCGATACCAGTCTGATTGCCAATATGAAGCTTGGCAGCTTGGACAGCAGTGTCCAGATGGTAAGGCAGTTGGGGGGAAGGGGCAGAGGAGGAGGCATGGGGAGCAGATTGTGGCTGAGGGAGGAAGTGGGGCTGGGGATGGGGCAGGCACTGCGCAGAGCCGTGGCTTATCCAGGAGGCGTAAGGGGGTGGGGAGGGGTGGCTCTTGCTGCTGCACACACCCCAAGGGCAGGCATGCGGGGCATGTGCCCCCTGGATCTGCGCGTGGGGTAAGGGCAGGCTGCTGATGCATGCTTGGGGCAAGAGGCTGCACCCGATTGGTGGGGGCAGGACTACAGCCACCCAGATATTCATCATGGTCCTCCCTGTAGCTCTCCTCCCCATCCTAAACGCAGCCCAGCGCAGCCTCCACCCCAAGCGCATAGCAGCAGCCTGCCCTCGCTCTATGCACAGATCCAAGGGGTACAAGCTCCCTATGCTTCCTCTGGGGTGTGCACAGCCATGGGAGCCACCCCCCCATTTTTGCCCCCCTGGATGAACCATGGCTCCGTCCCGCACTCTGCCCTGCCCTGGCTGTGCAGCGTCTGGCTCTGGCCCTGCTTCTGTCCCACTCCCTCCCTCACCACTGGGCCTTGATCTGTACCCCTCCCCTTCCCTCCCCCTATTCTTTCCCTACCCCACAGACTTACCAGCCAGACACTGCTTTCCAGGCTGCACTCCTGGCTCTGTGTAGGATGTGGCTGCACACATTCATGTAGCATTTATTGATAACATTATCAACCACATCAGCCAAAAAAAGCCAATTGCCAATAATGTCAATTTTCCTTTAATCGGTGCCAATATGATATGGCCAATATACTGGTGCACTTCTAATATTTTGTGATACTAAACTTTTGAAACAGGCTGAAAATTACTTAAGAGCACAAAACATACTGACAGAGAGCAAGAAGACTAAATCTCTCACAGGCATTCTCATTCTCACTTTGCCGCTTCAGAAAGAAGGAGGAATTGCATCCTGTATTTTAAACAGACTTCATGTCAAACACCCAACAAGAGGGACAGGACTCTGTGTTTATTCTTTTAAGAAGGAACTTACCTAGCTGACTTGTATTGGTAGTAATGCCACATGTTCATACCTGTATCAAGTCAGAATGCCGTAATTTCTTCCTAAACCAGGGGTCAACAACCTATAGCCCACACTGCTGGGGCTTCAGCAGTGTAGGGCCTCCATAATGGGGGCTTTGCCTATGCCATGCTGCAGCTTGGAAGCACAGAAAGCAGAGGTGGCTGGGTCCTACCATCATCCCATCCTGGACTTGAGCTGGATAATTCTGGCCCATCACCAAAGAACAATGACCAACCAGTGTCCTAAACCAATGAGCAAATACTAACTGACTAGGGAGAGAAAAGGCCATCCATTATAATTTAAAATGCATCTTTCGCAGGTAGGTTAGGTTGGAAGGGGGAAGAGGTGGGAAGGTGCAGAGAGGACACCAACTACTCAGTGATAAAGTATTAAGGGTGAAATCTTGGCCTGACTGAAGTTAATGCCAAAATTCCACTAATTTCAGTAGGGCCAGGATCTCATAAAAGGCATTTCTCAGAGAAGCACAATGAAGCATGCTAACAGTATAACCTCAGAAATATACAGCTACATTGACAGGAGCATTTCTCCTGCCAAATTCTTTTTCCCCATCAGCATCAGTGAGAAAAGGAGTCTGAAGTATAGCCTTCTGGTGAGGGAAGCCAGAAAGATGGAGGCAAACGATGTTTGTTCTTGCCCAAATAAGACATACAGTGCAAACAGTCCTCTAAGTACTATTTGCAGACTGCTGTGAACATTTGAAGTATGGGACAGCGGGGCTTCTGGTTGCAAATAATGCAGGAACATCTGATGGACATCATTTCATCTGGACACAAGACAACTTTAACAGAATTGCAATGGAACCATTGTGGGAGTTTCTGTCTTTGCACCCTGCTACAAACATGAAAGAGCAACACAGATTGGACTTTGCCTAACAGGCAACATTATAATAAAACAAACAGAATGGTACTTACCTATTAAAGGCAAGATTGATTATTTGCAGTTTTGTAAGTGCTTCCATTTCTTCAGGTAAAGATGTCAAAAAGTTATTTCTAAATTGTAAATAAAAGCAAACAGTATTTATAGAAGTTTTAGACAGCTTGAAGTTTTAATTAAACATTCCCAGCAAGCAAAAATTACATGTATTTGCCAGTCAGCCCTTTATTATCATGTGGCATACTGCCTACCTGCTCCCACTGACATGCTCCAACGCTGCTCTGGGAGATGAGCTGGTAATAAAGCACCAGGCCCTCCACCTTCAACCACTCTCCATATCTCTAGTGTGGTCTCTACTGTGCTTAACAGCAGCCCAGCTGCATATATTTCCATGTTTGGAGCATGCATACTGGCTGAGTAGGGAATGTTTGGAAATGGCCAGCCAGGGCTCACTGCTGCCCCAGCGATCATTAAATGTTTCTCAGTCTTAACCTTCCTGTGTCCGGCTCCCTCCCCATCAGTCTCATATGATCTTACTTATCTTCACTCTCCCTTTGCCTATTTCACTCCTTCTCCTGCTTCTCCACTTTCGGCAGGACATTTATTTTTAACAGATTATTTTAATTTAAAACAAGACAAGGCAAGCTGCTGCATCTGGCACTGTGCTTTACTTGTTTTCACTTTTGTGTGTCAGTGGCATGATCCTACCTCCTTGAATGAACACATTGAGCCCACAAGTTATTGTAGCTACAAATGCAGGTGCCCAAAGGTGCACACTGAGCTCATAAAGCACACCAGACCTGTATTATTCTTGTGAGGATGCAGCTTTTATCCAGATTAGCTGTCCCTGGGTCCCTTTTCTGATAGTTACCCAAGACCTTTGTGTAGAACTCTACATTCAATCAAGTCTTATTTACTCAGAAACTATCCACTTAATACCTTTATAAAGTGTTTAGATCTAGGTTGGCACCCATCTCCAGATATATTAATATAATTTATACATACCAACAATACCACAGAAACCTTTAAAGAATGTAAATATTATTTCATTACTGATATAATCCACTATCTGGTTTAAAAGGGTGTGAAAATATATTATTCAAAAAGACCACAAACCTGACATCCACATGTGTCAATCTGTGAAGCAAACAGAGCTCCAAGGAAATGGATGACAGCTTATTGAAGCCAAGACTGACATCACAAACTGATTCTTTCAGCTCTACAATCCTGCAACCCAATACAAATAAACTTTATTAAATGAGCAAAACACTTTCCATCTTAGTCACTAAGACCCTGTTCCACTGTGATGTCTGATCTGTGCTCTTTGGAATTTCAGTGGCAATTGGAGAGAGTAAATAGTGGGAGTGACACTTAATAAAGCTTCCTGTCCTTGAGCTTTGCATTTTAGTGTCAGGACAAAACTCATATTTAACTTTCTCAGACTGACTTCACTGATATCTAGTTATCCTATGAATGTTTGATCAGATAAATGCAGTCAGCAGATATTTTAAAGAGATATGGTGAGGTGAGCTGACCTTTCACTGTTAAAACAACATTTGTACAGAAGTTATTAAAAAGGCACAGAAGTTCAACATACCAGGAGCCATCAGGAGATGCAGTGGATTAGCATAAATTTCAGTCTTTTGTTTCTGTCCCATTAATTCATTTTTGTGAAATACTGAAAACATTATCTTACTGCTCTCACAGACTACTGAGATAATTAGGAGACACTCCAATGTAAAGTATTAGGAAGTTCAAGAAGTTAAGTGTTAAATCCATTTGGAAGAAACTGTCTTTAAACCAAAAGAGGTAATTAACATGCAAAATAATCCTCTATTATATTATAATTCTTACTAATATTCCTTCCTTTTTAGAACCTACTTACCTTCCTTGCCACTGAAATGCAATAGTCTTCAATAAAGTATTATTTTTAATAAACTGACTTTCTGCAGAATTATACAAACACATAATTAACCCAATTTTCCCAGGAGAGATTTCCCATGAGTTGCAGGGCCCCTGGGCACTACAGCAATACAAACAAACAACATTAACCAGACTTGGTACAGACTTGTTAGCCCATCTACATCATCGTCTATCTTGAGTTACAGTACTACTTAGTAACCTCATTGAGGATCAGTCCTTATTGTGTTAGAACCTGTACAAGCATATATATGAGCAGACAGTCCCTGCTCATAAGAGGTTATGAGCATTCATAAAGGACTCAGTATTACAGTTTTTACTCAGTCAAGTCCCCAGTTACAATTAATTCAGATTTTGCCTGAATAAGGTCTGCAGTATCAAGCCAGTGGCTATATATAACAGTACTATATAGCAACTACAGTCTCACTGCCACAGAGAAGCAAGAGCAAGTTAGACATTCAGAAGGTGAATGGATAAGTATTGCAACAAAGTACTCTGTTTCCACAAAACAGTGAGGGTTGGCATACTTCTTACTATCTAACATTCATTTTTAAATTATTATGAATTATGTAATATATAATTTTAAATCTTAATAAGGATTGTTGCTCTTCCTTCTCCCAGGCTCACTTGCTGACTCTTCACCTCTGGCCCACAACAATGGTGGTTTAACTGGGGCATCCTGTTTACGCTATAAAAGCTGTTGTGCCAGATAAGAATTTCATTAGCTACCCATTACCCTGTTTAATATCAAGCTAAAACATCCTCTCCAACTTCCACCATCTTTCCTGAGGCCCACAAAGAACAGAAATACAACTCTGTGCCATTTAAAAAACAAAACCAAAAAAAAAAAAAAAAGAGACTAAATGAATTCTTGTCTTGTCAATTTAGACTACAACCTCCTGGATGCAGGGCCATGTCTCCCAGCATCTAAAAATGATAGTTCAGCACACAGTTAAATGCTGATGACAAATTTTGCTCCCTAAATGTCACAACAAAGCTTTCTGTGGCCTTCTAGATGTAAGAAAATGAAGCTCAGTAATGTGTTAGTAACCTCATTGAGGATTATAAGTAAAATTATTAAAAATAATTAGTAAAATAAGTAAAATTATTCTGGCACACATCCAGGAGGGGCCAGCAGGGGACTGCATGCTTAGGGGCAACCAACACGGGTTCATCAGTGGCAGGTCCTGTCAGATCAACCTGGTGCCCTTTTACGATCAGATCATTAGATGCAGGGGTAGCAGTGGACATGGTCTTCGTGGACTTCCGGAAGGCTTTTGACACTGTCTCTCACCCCGTTCTCATTAAGAAATTGGGGGGCTGTGGCGTAGACACCCACACAGTCAAATGGGTTGCCAGCTGGCTGGAGGGCCGCACCCAGAGGGTGGTAGTGGATGGGTCCTTCTCAACCTGGAAGGACGTGGGCAGTGAGGTTCTGCAGGGCTCGGTCCTCGGGCCTGCGTTGTTCAACATCTTCATCAGTGATTTGGACGAGGGGGTAAAAAGCACCCTGTTCAAATTTGCTGATGACA